CAAATATTTTAAGATATGAAGACAAATTACTTAAACTCGAAAATGAGCTAAGGATGGTCCTTTCCTATGAAGGGAAAGAATAAAGCAGAGAGGCTATGGCGTTACATCTATGTACAGAATCCATCTGTGTGTACTGTTACCAAACAAGATGGAATGATACTTGGTTCTGAAATTCTTTACACCATCTTGTTAGCATTTTGTTTTATCTGTTTTTTCTTGTTGAAGAATGGAGATCAGGGGTGACCAAGGATGGATTTCAGTAAGTTCATTGGAAACAATGTCCCGTGCCCATGGATTCACTTTCCTGGTTTTGAATATGTTTCTGATGGTACCTAATTAGTCAGCTAACCACCCCTCTCAAACGAACCTAATGTCAATTTTCAAACTGAAAAATAATTCCCTTTTTATTTTTTTTTTTCGAGGAAATAATTCCCTTTTTATTTATTTATCCTTTGGGTCAATCTTTTGACATTATATAACTTTTAGAAACTAATGGGTCGGTTTCCCAAATCTCACATTGAATATGTGGTACACTGGTACTATAAAATATTCTTGCCTCTTCTGCGGTCACACCCAACAAAAAACAATGAGGTATCCTTTCGGGCCGTAGGTAGGTGTATATATATACAATAATACTAATTAGGAGTCCTGGAATGCATATCATATATGATTGGATAAAGTTCATTTTAGCTATTTGGTTTAGAGTTGATATAAGAAAAGATATGATATTTTAAATGTACATGTAATGTACTTATAATTTAAGTTTTTATATGTATAAATAAAGATTTGAGTTTTGTATTAAAGATATATAATTATTTAAAATTACATGAAATTATCACAAATACCTTTATTTTTTTTTCATTTTTAAAAATTAAGGATTTTAAGAAATTTCAAATAGTTATTTACATTAAGTGTTAATTTTAGGTGTTTATATACATGTTTTAATATCTCAAATTTTTAGTTATATATACTTAAAATCACAAATTTGTCATGTATACATTTTTAAACTTCAAGTCTTAATATACATTAATCTTAAATTACAAGTAACTAAGTTATAATTTTTTCAATTAAATTGTAGTATTGTCGTACCATTGTTTTATTCCGATGGCGATCATTTTTTTTGTCCGAGGGCATGTTAAAATGAGAATTTGTTATTTATCTGGTGTTCTGGAAACCAGAGGAGTCTAGTATATTTGTACATGCTGACTGGGAGCTGCAAACAAAACACGAGCCACCAACTACGTATTTCGTGTCTTGTTAAATTAGAGATGGGATTTGTGAGATCCTGTAGAAGTGCCTGACTCCAGGCATAAAAATGTGAAGAATTGTAGAAATCATTAAAAATATTATACATTAAACGAGAATATTTTGTTTTTGTATTTTCAAGGAAATAGTCATGGATCCAGCTCTAGAACTAACCAGGCAAATTGATTGTAACTGTTGAACAATTGGAATATTTTTATTGAATAGTTTAGTCAAATGTAATGATTTTGCGAACCGGGGCCTGAGATCAAATGATTTAACCAAGTCTTAGGGTTTTGGTGAAGCGAAAGTTAGGGTTTTGAACTCTGTCACCATTGTGAATTCCATCAACTTAGGGTTTTGAACTCTGTCATCATTGTGAATTCCATCAACTTGTGAATTCCATCAACTTGTGGTCTAATAGTCGCGTGCTTCATTTTAGGAGGTGAAATATTCATTATTTTGAGAATTTCAATTGCTAACAATTAACTTATATTAATTTCCTAACCATTACTTCTTAAAAAAAAAAAATAATGATTTTGGAATAGATTAAGTATTTGTAAGTAAGGCAGAAATCCCATGCTTTAGGACGCACTAAAAGCCCTGAATGTTAATCTGACCCACACCCAGAGTCAGAATCTAACAAGAAATAGAACTTGTTAATTATTTATAACAGAGAAATAAATGTTTTAAAAATATCAAGATATTAATTTTAATTACATAATAGATGGTTCTTATTTTTTGTATTATTAATTTTTTTAATGTTTTAAAAATATAAAGACGTTTATTTTAATTACATAATAGGTGGTCCTTATTTTTTTGCATTATTAATTTTTTATGGAGGAAAGTAAAAATAAGAACATAACTAAGGAGAATAAGAGATGAAGAAAGATACCAACGAGGGATTGGATCAAGTAGCAAGCGGCTTGTTTCAGCTTAAGCAAGGTTTCGAGTTCGAAACTTTGTGTACGCAGTAGTCTTCGTTGGGAAACCCACCCACCATTCTAGTGTGCCATAGCTGGTCGAGTTTGGAGTAGTCGGGGCGAAACCCCGGATACCGGACGAGAAACCTAAAAAAAAAAGAGATGAAGAAAGATTGGTGAATAAAACAGTTTAATATATATGAAGTCAATGGATTTCCCCTTTCTAAGAGTCATTAAAATAAATTGCCTGACCAAAATTATAGCTTCTCTGTTGTTGTTGTTAGTTGGAGAGGAAGTCAGAAAAGTAACAAAAAAGTTATAATTATTTAAATTTAATTGGCCCTACTCAGTGCCTGAAAACCATCGTTCTAGTCAGCTTTAAGAGCATAATGGACGGCAAAGGTGACGGCTAATAAATATATATATATAAAGATATAAAAATTATATTAATTTAAATAATATTATTAAATAAAAAAATTTAATTAATTAATTAATTAGTTAAAAATTAATTTTTATTATTTTAATATTAATTTATAATAAAAAATTTATTTATTACGTTATTAATATGTACTTTTAAAATATAATTTAAAAAAACTATTAAAAGTATTAAGATCATATTATTTTTTATATATAATTTTTTATTGATTTAATTTAATTTAATTATTAAAAATAATACATAATTATAATTATTAATTAATAAATAACAAAATTATTAATATTTATTATTTAATAAATTAAAATAAATCTATAAATTAATATTTTAATATTTTCTAACTAATTATTCATTAAAAATATTAAAATATCTGTACTATCTTAACAGCTCATGGCGTGGCCTTGTTAACCATGCCCAATGTAGTCCACAAATATGTTAGATGAAACGTGGGTCACAGGTTATTGTTAGTTGGTTGCTATTTCTAGTGCCCTATTTAAGCAATAGCTAGAAATTCCTCTTTTTTTTTTTTTTTTGAAAAAAAGAAAATCATATATAGTTAAAAAGACACACATGTTTTTTTTTAGTTTATTATTTTTCCAATCTTCCAATCAAAAGGGGCAAACATTGAGAGCTAGCTCATCACGTGAACAACTAACCATCTTCTTCCTTTCTACTTCTTCCTTTCTACTTCTACCTATCTCTCATTATATCCTATAAAATCCCCACTCAACATTTATCAACTCCACCGCATTCATTTATACCCTTGTGTTATGTTAGTTGAGTGAAGTAAAAAAAGGGGTGTTCGAGAAATTCAGATTGCTATAATGGTGACTACTGTGGCTTCAAGAGTCGAGAGTTTGTCGAGCAGTGGGATTCAAGCAATCCCAAAAGAGTATGTTAGACCCGAAGAAGAGCTCACCAGCATGGGGAATGTGTTTGAAGAAGAGAAGAAAGAGGAAGGGCCTCAGGTTCCCACCATTGATCTTAGAGATATTGACTCCAAAGACTCAGAAGTGAGGGACAAATGCAGGGAGGAGCTCAAGAAAGCGGCAATGGGGTGGGGTGTGATGCACCTCGTGAACCATGGCATTTCTGATGATCTCATTGATCGGGTCAAGAAAGCCGGTGAGGCTTTCTTCAACCAGCCTATTGAGGAGAAGGAGAAGTACGCTAATGACCAGGCCACCGGCCAGATTCAAGGATATGGTAGCAAGCTCGCTAACAATACTAGTGGGCAGCTTGAGTGGGAGGATTACTTCTTTCATCTTGTTTATCCTGAGGACAAGAGGGACATGTCCATCTGGCCCAAGACACCAAGCGACTACACGTAAGTTTTCTTTGATTTCTTGAATTTTTTGTTTGAAATCATTCATGTAATTAATTATCTTATAATTTAACAGAGATGGATGGAAATTAAGGTTAAAAGTTCTAATAGTTTTAATCACTCTTGGTGATATTTGTACAGTGAAGCCACAAGTGAGTATGCAAGGCAACTCAGAGACCTCGCGACCAAAATTCTCTCAGTGCTTTCACTTGGCTTGGGATTGGAAGAAGGAAGACTAGAGAAGGAAGTGGGTGGCTTGGAAGAGCTCCTCCTCCAAATGAAGATCAACTACTACCCCAAATGCCCTCAGCCAGAACTAGCCCTAGGTGTCGAAGCTCACACCGACATCAGTGCCCTCACCTTCATCCTCCACAACATGGTGCCCGGTCTTCAACTGTTCTACGAGGGCAAGTGGGTGACCGCGAAATGCGTTCCAAATTCCATTATAATGCACATTGGTGACACCATCGAGATCCTCAGCAACGGAAAGTACAAGAGCATTCTCCACCGCGGAAAGGTGAACAAGGAGAAGGTAAGGATCTCGTGGGCGGTTTTCTGTGAACCTCCTAAGGAGAAGATCATCCTCAAGCCACTGCCAGAGACGGTGTCCGAGACGGAGCCAGCACAGTTCCCTCCCCGCACCTTCCAGCAGCACATTCATTATAAGTTGTTCAAGAAGACCCAGACCCTTGAGGATCCAACTAAATGAGGCCACTTCAATATTGAATAAACTGTTACGTGTAAGAATTTTATATCTTGTTATTTTGTTGCAGTGGTTCTAAAATGTTTATGAGTATTTAGGGTCAATGGATTGTTGGGTTAAGGGCTTTGAATTGTAGCCATTGTGGTTGTGTTTTTGCCTGCTTTTACGGAATAAAATTGAATTTCTTCGTTTCCTTCTATAAGACTTCATTTCTTCATAAATTCTCTTAATTAAATTCTTCAAGATCCTTCGGTTTTTTTTGGTTCCAAGGGATTGAAAAAAACGTCAATTTGAATTGAAAAATATTAATTTATCCTAAATGAATAAACATAAATACAAAAGTTCTTTGATATTAATTTATTCTCTACAAAAATATTTTTCTCATCTCTTATCTTACTTATTTATGCGCTGTTTATAATTTGAAGTTCATGACATTTAACTTTTACGCATTTGTTTCTTGTTGCTTGCCGATTGAAACGGTCCCAACTCCCAAGTCTCCACTGGAACTATTATTGCATTGCAGTTAGGTAGCACATGATACACGTGCTCAGCAACAAGCCGTCAAACATTTATGTTACTCCATATTACTAGGAATGGTACAATTATTTGAAAATAATGTTTTGGTCTTTTGCACCGTGAAATTTAAGGAAAATTTTTAATATTAAAAATAGTTTTTATTTATTTATTTAATAATTGATATTTTGTAATTAAAATTGCAAAAAACAGAAAACACCAGACAAATTATTATTTCTTTTTTTTTTAAAAAAAAAAACAAAAACGAAAAGGAAAGAAAAGGCTTCACCATTCGTGTAGGAGTAGAATACGTAATTAAGTTGTGTGATATCGAAATCGAGTCAATGTTAAGGGACCTGGACCTGTCCCTGATGCGATTATAGCAAAGTTTGCGAGAACAAGGCAGCTAAACGTGTATTATACTTCTATTAGAAATCTTGCAATGGATAACCGTCTGTTACAAGTAAAATAGAAAACACAGTCCATTGAACAATTCTACACATAACATAGGCAGGGCAGGAAACTATCGTTGTAGTCTTAACAAGAGAGAACATCAAAACATTGTTGAACACATGGTTTCAAACAACACTAAGTACTAGCTTCAGCTTCCATACAAAGGAACTCAGATCTACAATCAATAGGAGATTTATTCAATATTTCAGGTGAATTGTTCAATATTCATCCCTCTCCCTCTCACTTTCTGATTCAGTTGATCAGTTTAATCTTCAGCATGCTGCATATGGAACAATATTGAAAGCATTATACAAGAAAAGAACGGGATTTTGAAAGTTCAGTTATTTGTTTGACACAACTGACAACAAAGGTTTATTTGAAAAGAAAGTCTCCAAGTTGTTAATAACCAACTCCATTAATAGCTCAAAGGATTCTGGGGTGAGGACTGCACGGTGTGGAGACAGCACGACATTATCCAGGGCAAATAGCTCTTTTGGCACATCAGGCTCTTTCTCAAACACATCAAGCCCTGCACCACCTAGCTCTCCTTGCACCAGGAGCTGCACCATTTCCTTCTCATCGATAAGAGCTCCACGTCCAACATTAATAATCACCCCTTCCTTTCCCAATGTTGTCATGACATCCTTATTGACAATATGATGGGTTTCTCCTGTAAGTGCACAACAAAGTACAAGCACATCACTGTTAGCTGCTAGCTCACGGACATTGGCATAGAAGGGAAATGTAACAGATGGTTTCTGCTTCCTTGAGTTGTAGGCAATGTTGCATCCAAAGGCAGCCAGCCTTTTTGCAATTTCCGAGCCAATGTGTCCCAGCCCCACAATCCCAACACGCTTTCCCCCCAACTGCAATTGGAACTTTATAGAATAAGAACCCATCTGATAATCTGAAGCCTTGATCAAATGTATTTGTCATGGTGATACATCATAAAAGCAGGAACAAATGTTACTCAAGCCAGCGCTTGATAAAAAAATGGCAAAAGGTGCAGATTCCCTACCAAAATTGTTGCATTGAAGCAAATCGCCACTCAAAAAAAATACTGACATAATTTGTTAACCCAAATTTCCATTTTCCAGAAATCAGCCCAAATTTAACGATTATTGTTAACTTTCCATTAAACTTCAAGAGAAATAGTTTAACGGCAACTGTTAAATTTAGGCTAATTTCTTGAAAATGGAAATTTGAGGTGATAAATTGTGTTAACATTCTTTTGGGATGGTGATTTGCTTCAATGTAACAATTTTGGGGCAATTTGCTCATTTGGCCTTAAAAAAATTTGGAGTGGGAATCAGGGGTCACCAGCAGTTCCAATCCAGTGCCAAAGCAGTTCTTATGCTTATACCTCTAATGCATTTGTGAAAATGTCTTAAGCACTAAGATGTTATGAAGGACATCTTTCCTAGTGAACAAAGAGAAGAGATCCTAAAAGTTTTTTCTGTATGTGGTTCAGGATTAGATTATGTTTCTACCATACTACTCCATTGCAGCCATTTGTCCTATACATGCAAATCAAAGTCATATCTTTCCCCCTAGTGTGGCATAAACTAAAAAACAAAAAAAAAACAAAAAAAACCAAAAAGTAAAAAGAAAAAGAGAAACGGAAGAATCTTAATTCAGGGGTAACAAACTGCCATAATAGTTAGATTGAATACTGGAAAATGCCCCATGTTTCTTTGAAAAGGGAGAAAAGACATTTCTTTTAGAAGTTAAAAAGTGCTCACAATGATAGACAAATAAAGCTGAAATCTACATATCTATCTTTTCTTTAGCCCCTCAATTTCATGAACCTTACGCATCAAACTGACTTCACCAAGAATGGTTAAAGTTTCTCAAGTCAACGAAGGTTATTTATCCATGTGTTTTTGTGTTAAACAACCAACCATTCTACAGGATAAAGGCAGTCGCCAGAATCAGAACATAGACGTAGTAAACCACCTTCAAAGCCAACTCAGCAAATCCTAGGACCTCAGAAATTAATATGCAAACAATAAAACCCCTTCAAAATAAACACATTAAAGAAGGCAGCTTGGACTCCTACATTGGAGCTTCAATTGTCTATACCCCCCAATAAGCAACCAAAATCTCAAGGGCTCTTCAACTACGTCAAAAAAAGATCAATCGGAACCTCAAATTTCTTCCCTTAACAGAATCTATTGTCATCTATGTATTTGGACTTGGTCTTGTCATAATTGCAATAATAACAATACAAAACAAAACCAGTAAACGAAGGTCAATAAACAGAAAACTGATGAGGGAGAGATGCACCTTAAAACCAAGAGGATAGTCTTCCTTCACAGGCCACAACCCACCACGAACGAATCTGTCAGCAGCCGATATTCTTCGCAAAACATCGATCAACAACCCAACAGCACAGTCTGCCGCATCCTCGCAGAAGGCAAGGCTAGCGTTGGTGACTATGATTCCCCGGCGCCGGCACTCAGGCAGGTCAACGCGGTCAAGGCCTGCGCTTGCCGCCACTATTAACTCCAAACGAGGCAGGAGATGGAGAAACTCGGCAGATATTGGGGAAGGACCCACGCTGATGAGTGCCCGGATCGACTCTGCGTGTCGGGACAAGAAGGATTGGGTTTGCTCAAGCGAGTCAAAGGGGTGGTCAAGAAGGCGAAATTGAGCAAGTAGGCGCTCTTCGAATTCGAATTGCCTTGGAAGCTTGAATGGGGGGAGACAATGCACCAGAACCAGAGGCCGCTCGTTTTCTTGGGTATCCATAATAGCGAATGCAGAGAAATTGGGAAGTAGGAATTTCGATCGTCTACTTCGTCATCAGGTTTTTGTCTAGCATCTGTAATACATCAATCTTTCTAGGTTTAATACCCAATTTGGTCCCTAAACTTTCATTTCAAAACTTAATTCGTCCTTTAACTTCAGAAAGCACACAAACCGTCCTTAAACTTTATTTTTTCAGAACCCAAATGGTCCTTCTGTCACCAAAGTGCCCAGCTGGCACGTTAACTTGCCACGAATTAACACTTCTATTTCAGAAAAATTACGTGGAAAAAAATGATGATTTGATAATTTTAATAAATTTAATAGAAAAAAATAAACAATTACAATATTAACCCTCCCTTATCTTCAACCCTTATCCCTCTGCCATTTTTGTTCTTTTCCCTGTTCTCCAGCACCGACATCAACACCAATGCCAGCAGCAGCATTCTTTCCCTTTCTTATTTTTCTCTCTACTCTCCACTCTCCTCGTTCCTCCTTCATCATTTCCCTTTTCTTTCCCTTTTTTTTTTCTTCTTTTCGTTTCTAGTCGGGGTTTAAAACCCATATTGGGATTGGGGCTTCAACCCAGATCAAGTTTGGAGTTTTAACCTAAGGACTTGGAATTCCTGATTGATCAAAACCAAGGCGTCACAAGTGGTTACGAAGCAACAAACGTCGATAAATGACGCCGATCTGAAAGGTATGGCTCCAATCTGGATGAGCATCGATCTGTAATTCATGGAGGCTAGCAACAACAATGGCGATGGTGTGAAGCTTTGTGATGGAGCTCTGCATATGATCCATGGTATTTGGTAATGGGTTTTTGGTTGAATGTACTATTCCACTTTAATCTTGAATATACATGCTCAATTCTAGTTTATGTTGGTGAATTTTAAATGAATTTAGGCTCCATTAGGTCCTGGATTTGGTCTTTGATTTTCTTTTTTCTTTTTTCTTTTTTTTTTTTTGCAATTTCTTTGGATTTTTAACTTTGGCCGGAATCTGGAAATTCTCTCGGAATTTTAGAGCAGGGGTAGAATTTCCAGACCCAATTTTCAAAAAAACTACGTGGAAAAAAACTGATGATTTAATACCCAATTGTTTACAAACTGATGAATACAGTTTGATTTTGCGAAGTCGTAAGAATTCAGCGATCTGAAGATACCAAAGCGCAATGCATGTAGAAAGTGTTATATTGGATGCCGACGATCCCTTCCGCCAGCCATTTGTCCTCGTCTTCTGCTCCGTTCAACATCATTTTCTCTCCCTTCCTATCCGACACTCGATCGAAGAAATTTTTCACCATGAGTAAACAAGAAATATATGAAGTTCCCTTCTAGACGACCCTTATCATCGGAAAATTGTTTGGTTCAATACCCAATTGTTTAAAACGGACCAAAAAAACAAAAAGAACAAATTCAGTTTCCCGTGAATTTTCTTTGCAACAAATAGGCACGTAAAAGGCGCTTTGTAGGTCGTCATGCTTCTGGGTACACTATTTTGGAACAGTCCTGGACGAAGGCACCCATTACTTGTTTGGATCTGGAAGTTACCTAGCTAAGGGAGACCAAAATGTTGCCAGAATCCGACCGAGATCTGCTGCTCTTTCGCTTCCAAAACCCAGGAAAAGTTCAAAAATGGACCAGAAAGAACGCCTAAAAATCGCTTAAGGAACCCCTTTCTTTTTTTTTGCCGTCGATTGCTCTCCTATTAAATTTATTAAAATTATCAAATCATCATTTTTTTTCCACGTAATTTTTCTGAAATAAAAGTGTTAATTTGTGGCAAGTTAACGTGCCAGCTGGGCACTTTCGTGACGGAAGGACCATTTGGGTTCTGAAAAAATAAAGTTTAAGGACGGTCTGTGTCCTTTCTTAAGTTAAAGGACGAATTAAGTTTTGAAATGAAAGTTTAGGGACCAAATTGGGTATTAAACCTAATATTTTTTAGATACAATTTAATGTACTATTTAAA